GCACAAATTTTTTTAAAAAACTATCAAAATATTTTTTACCTCTTGAGACTTCTTTAAGTAGTCACTGATTTGCACAGCACGTTGTTCAATTTCATTAGTTTTCATTTTCTGGTAGATATAAGGTTCTGGACCTTGTAAAAAGGAAGAAAAAATTATAAAATACCTGAAAATGTGTTATTCTCAAATCACAGTTTCCAAATAGAAAAATCTGAACATGGTACATTCACTTAAACTTGGACATAGTTTTCCCTTTCTGTTTTTAGTCAGTTTTACTAAGTTTCCTCTACCTTTTTTTGCCTCAAGTTGCTGAAAGCTACTTATTCTATTTTTATTCGTCTATAGTTACTTTTACATTTATAATAACCTATACCTTCCCATCTAAGTCAAGAATTAAACAATCCATAATCTGTCTTCCTATAAAACACAACCTTCCGTAATTTTTTTATATTCACCTTCTGCACCCTATAACTCGTGCTTTATTTAAAATATTGTATGTGAAATTCTACTTCCAAATTAGTAGAAATCCTCCTTTCGTAACTACATCAAGCATCATAGTAGGCTACTTAAAAACTAAAAACAAATGAAAGATAGACAGGAGAAGGCCATCAAATAGGTTTAATGTTTAGCCTTTTCTTAAAAAGAATCATGAGGATTATTATTAGTTTTATTTTTTATACCTGGATAAAAAATAAAACTGAGTTACCGTAGAGTTACTGCAGATAGTAAGTACATAATAATTATCTAATAAATACTTGGTTGAATTAACTCAAAGTATAATACTTAAGAGTCCTGATTAAATGTAGAAAATAACAGTTGTATTTTTTTCCTAATGATTTTGGACCAGAAAAAAAAAAAAAAAAACTATACAAAAAGTGTAAAGAAAACCTATTGGAAAAAAACCTATTGGAAAATCATGAAATTATGCTAAACAGGGTTTCAATGATTGCTCAGTATTATAATTAAAATAAAATACCTATAGGAAAAACTAAGTATCTACTTTTCCTCTTCATAGTTAATTTCCTTAGAACTCTACTTTTTATGTTTAAAGAGAGCTACCTGACAGAGCATCTCCCCATCCCAAAATTTTTGCTTAATTAATTAATTAATTAATTCTTAACTTGGACATGTTTCAAAAAATAAGCTTTTAGACTCAGGATGTGGTTCAAGGAAGACATAAGGTCTCATTATTCGTTCAGATTCGCCGGGTGCCGGAGTCAGCCTATTCCCCTAGCTTTGCCCCCATTCTGATCATCTGACTTAATGAGATTCTTTCCCAGAACCTTCCTGCCACCTGTATCTTTCTGTTTGAAATTCATTGGAAGGAACTTAAATAATTTAAGTAACAACGACATATAATAACCTAAACGTGGGCTACACTATTTATAGAAAATAGAGTACAAATATATAATATAAATATACGATGTTTGTAAATAAAATACATATATTTATAATTGGTCCTACAATCATGTCTTTACATATGAGACTTAATTTATTCAAACTCATGGTCTCTAGTAAGCTCTCAAGCCATATCTGTAAATTGAGGAGGTTCTGAATAATCTAATTTCCAATCTCTTTCAGCATAGAGTCCACTTGGGTCTCAGTGATTAAACAGACAATTGAGTATTTTTTTAAACATAGAACAGGGTTTCTCCACCTTAGCATTGACATTTGCAGCTGGATAGTAGAGTCCACTTGGGTCTCAGTGATTAAACAGACAATTAAGTATTTTTTTAAACATAGAACAGGGTTTCTCCACCTTAGCATTGACATTTGCAGCTGGATAAGTCCTTGTCATAGGGGCTGCCCCATGCATTACAGGAAGTTTAGCACCAGCCCTGTCCTCTACCCCCTTAGCTGTGATAACCAAGAATGTCTCCAGACGTTGCCAAATGTCCCCTGGGGAAGGCAGCGTGGTGGGGGAGGGTGGTGCAAAATCACACTTGGTTGAGAACCACTGACAGTAAGAGCAAGCATGATAAAGAAACATGATAGCATAAATTTCAATACAATGTCTATCTGTCCCTTAAAATTAATATTTTAAATAATTTTAAATCTTTATGACTCCTAAATAAAACAGTCCTTTCTGTTCAAAAATTGGTAAAGTCTCTTATCTACTGCAAGAAGTTCAGAGTTCTGACCATTGCTCTCATTTCTGTTCATAACCTGCCCTCATCCTACCTGTCCAGGCTTATTTCACATTCCATTCCCAGCTTAGTCTTCAGTCTTAGCTAGTTGGTCTGTGTTCTCTCCTCTACAAACAGTAATATTAAGCTTAAGGGATACTTGTACAAACAGTAATATTAAGCTTAAGGGATACTTGCCCATGTAATAAACACTCTACATAGGCAGTAGTAAATAACCAACTATAACCCAATCCACTGATCCTGTGTAGGGGTCCATACTAGTGTCACATGAACTTTAAGAATTTGTAAAATCAGACAACTCCCCCACCCCATAAATTAGAATAAATGAACACTATCTGGAGAAAACACTCTGAGTCAGGTTCAAGAGCTTTGAATATAAGAAACTTATATTCTTTTCTGGATCCTGATTACTAATTTTTAAAACAAAATTGTGTCCCTTTCATAAAAATTAAAAACAGGAAAGAGCTATTTCCCTAAGAAGGTTTTGCCACCTTCTCTTTTCTTCACCTCCACTTGGAAGAACAGCAAAGACCACAAATGGTCCCAAGACCATACCCCGAGGAAACTCTAGCAGGGTCTGTGGGATGCAAGACTGTAGACAGCTACATACTCATCTGACTGTTTTTGGACACTGTGAGCCAGTTCTTGCTGCAGTCCTCTTTTTCTGAGGTGTTGTTTTCTCCTGTATCTGAATTCAATTGGTCACTTTGAGTGCAGCCATTGACTGTTATGACCTGGACAGAAAGACATATGTTGGAACACAGTGACATTAATCTGGAAACATTTTGAGTCCCATTAATAGAGAGGCACCATGGTGAAAACCAGCAGTTGTTAACATCAGCTGCATATTAGAATCACCTGGGAGTTCTGGTCAAGACTGCAGAATAGACAGTTCCCAGCGTCACTCTCTCCCACAAATCAACCAATTTACAAATATAAAAATGTAACATCGGCCAAGCTGGGGCCACTGGAGCTCAGGGGAAGAGGAAGAGAGACCTATGGAGTTCATGAAGGTGAGAGAAACCATGATGAGAGTAAGAAAAAACTGCTCTGAGCATTTCGGGCTGTGGCCACTTTAAGGCTGGAGCTGCTGAGCGCATGGAGCAGGAGCTGGCAAAAGCCTCAGCTGTGCCCTTCAGATGGAGTTACTTGGAGGCTACAGGGGAGAAAAGGGCCTTGGCGGACCCCAGGACAGCAAGACCACTAATAGGGTTCCCGTGGACTCACACAGGAGCAAGAAGCCAGAACAGCTGAAAAAGGGGTGCCATTCAAAGGCTGGTGACTCATCACAAGGGACTGGCACAGGGCCCATCCCATGGGAAGTGTTTGGAGAACAGGTAGTGGGGAGACGGGCCCACTGGGAGAACACTGGGACAGAGCAAGGACAGCCAATCCGCCCCCACAATCAGCATAGGACCACTCAGAGGAGACTGGTTGGGAATGCAAAATTGCATGGGGTGCAGTTTGATGAAAAAACTCAGGCCCAGATCAGAGTTTCTACACAACCCAGATCCACCAGGTCTCTGGAGAGCTGGAAGTACCTATAAGGTCTAATCATTAAAACCTGAGCTGCACAAAAAGCCTTCCCTAGGGAAGCAGCAGTAAAGCAGCAATTTAGCTCAACCACAGAGCTCAAGTGCTGGTCCCCACAGGAAGTTCCCCATTTTAGAAGTAAGCAAAGGACAAAAACATAGTTCCAGCCCAGGCACACCACCAGCACCTTGGCGCCTGCCTGGGAACCGGAAGTTTGGAGCTGGGGACCAGACCCCACTTCCACATCCAGGCACACCATGCCAGTGCCTCAGGGCCCACCCAGTGACCCGGGGCATGGAGAAGGGGACTGGATCCCCTCCCACAGCCAGACACACCATGCCAGCACCTCGGGACCTGCCCAGTGACCAGAGGCATGGAGCTGGGGAGTGGACCCCCATCCCACAACCAGGCATGCCGCAACAGCACCTTGGGATCTGCCTGGGGACCTGAGGTATGGAGCCAGGGACCAGATACACCCCACAACCAGGCACACCACCAGTGCCAAGGAGCATGCCAAAAACATCGCTTCCATGTGGGTGGCCCACCACAGCCACCACAATAACCACGGCTGTTGTCAAAGCAGCTAGACACCACAACCACCACACAGATGGTCCACCAGCCACTGGAGTGCACTGACACAAGGAGAGTCATCAGCAGAGATAAAGAAAAGAAGAGGATGTCTCTCTCCACAAAGTCCTTTTCAGAGTGACAGAAGAAGCATCTGCTCTATGATAATATTGGGGGACCTGATCACACAGAGTAACCATTATTCTTTCAGAAGGAGAAAAGAAATCTAGGGTAATTAGAGGGGGGAGGAGGAGGGAATGGGGAGAGATTGGACAAGGGGCATAAAGAATAAGTATGATTTGTAACAATATACATACTAGTAACAATATACATACTAGTAATATTGATTTGATCAACTTATCTCAATGTTAAACCACCAAAATATGTGTAATCAATTTTAATTCAATAAATAAAATAAATTTAAAAAATAAAAGAATACAAGGAACCATCTTGAGATTTGGCAACACTGGTGACACCTCTCATCAAGATGTGCCTTGGAGAGAAGAAGGAAATGTGGGATCAGAGGGATTTATTTCCTGTAGCATTTTGAACCTATCTTTGAAATATTTTAGAAAAGACAGACTATTTTTAAAAATGAAATCGTTTGTAGTGCCATCACCCACAAGTGACATGTGTTGCTTTTCTACAATATACCATATGTGATACAATGTAATATTGAAAGAGATTATCGAAAGACAGAGAGATTAATCAATTGATCTTATGGGAATATTTTTAATGTGGCTAATTCCACATTAATAATCCTATTTCACAAAGTTACAGCCCGATAGGAGGAATAAGTTCTGATGTTCTATTGCACAGGACAACTATGGTTAACAATATTGTACTGTATATCTCAAAATAGCTAAAAGAGAGGATCTGAATGTTCTCACCACAAAGAAATGATAAATGTATGAGATGATGTATATGCTAAATACCCAGCTTCAATCATTATATAATGTATACATGTATCAAAATATCATACTGTACCCCATAATTACATATAATTATTATGTGTAAATTAAAAACTAAAAAATCCTACTCAAATATGTGAGTTTAGCAAGGTCATAGAATACAAGGCCAATATAAGTATGTATATATATATATATATATTTCTATATACTGCAAATAATTAGAAATTAAAGTTTTTTAAATAATTGTAGTTATAATAAAATTTAAAAATATAAAATACTAATGGACACGTTTAACAAAAGTTATGCATGACTTGTACACTGAAAACCACAAAACATTACTGAGAAAAACTGAAGAAGACCTAAATAGGTAGAGAGATAAATCATGTTCATGGATCAGAAGACTCATTACTGTTAAGAGGTCAATTTTCCCCAAATTGATGTATAGATTTATAGCAATTTCATTCACAATCCCAGCAGGTTTCTCCGTAAAGATAGACAAGCTGATTCTAAATGTATATGGAAATGCAAAGAACATAAAATAGCCCAACAACTTTCATAAAGAAGACAAAATTTAGACCTTCAGTCCATAATCCCAAGGCTTATTATAAAGTTGCAGTATTCAAGTTCTGTTTGACATAAAGGTAGACAAACAAAAATAGATCCACACATATTGTATATCTATGTGGTCAATTAAATTTTGACAAAGGCGTCAAGGCAACTCAATAGGACAAAGATAATCTTTTTTACAAAAAAAAAAAGTGGTAGAAAAATTTGACATCCGTATTCAAGAAAGAGAGTGGGGATGGGGAGAGAAGAAAGAAGCTCAATCATTACCTGTCATCACATACAAAAATTACCTAAAAATGGGTTCTAGACCTAAACGTAGGCACTAAAACTGTAAAGCTTTTAGAAGAAAACACAAGAGAAAATCTTAGTACTCTTAGGTTTGGCAAAAATTTCTTAACTATGATACAAAAAGCATAAACTATAAAAGAAAAAATCAAATATTCAACTTCATTAAAATAAAAATGTATGTATTTCAAAGAACATTTATGGAAATGAAAAGGCAAGCCACCGAGAGAAACTATTTACAAAAACATACATCCAACGAAGAACTTAAACCTAGAAAACATTTTTTAAAAAAAACTCTTTCAACTTTATAATAAGACAACCCAATATTTAAAAGGGGCAGAAGATTTGAGCAGACATGTCACCAGAAAAGATACACATATGGCAAATAAACACACTGAAAGATGCCTAGCAGCATTAGTCACTATGGAAAGGTCAATAAAACCAACCATGAAACACCACTACACTTCCACTAATGTGGCTAAAATTAAAAAGACTGCAGAGTCGGCTGGTTCTCAGTCGGTTAGAGCATGGTGTCATAACACCAAGGTTGGGATCCCCATATTGTCCAGCCGCCAAAAAAAAAAAAAAAAGACAGATTTACAAGCCAATAAAACCAACCACGAAACACCACTACACTTCCACTAATGTGGCTAAAATTAAAAAGACTGAAGAGTCGGCTGGTTCTCAGTCGGTTAGAGCATGGTGTCATAACACCAAGGTTGGGATCCCCATATTGTCCAGCCGCCAAAAAAAAAAAAAAGACAGATTTACAAGGTTGTAGAACAGCTGACATGCTCATAAACTACTGGCGGGCATGTATAATGCTACAATCACTTTGGAAAACGGTTTGTAAGTTTCTTCAGAAATTAAAGACACACTTGCCATAGGACTCTGACATTCTACTCCTAAGTATTTGCCAGAGACATTAAAAAACTATGTCCACAAAAAGACTTGTCACTAATATTCATATCACCTTTGTTTGGAATAGCCCCAAACAGAAAATGACCCAAATGTCCTCGACCGTGTGAGCAGATAAATAAATTATGACATATCCACTCTGATGACTCAAATTTGTATCTTCAGTCCTCCAAGAACAATGCTATTTGGTATACATGGCACTTGACACTAAAGAGAAACTAAGCTAAGATAGGCCAAAGACAGAATATACAATAGACTTACCGGCACCTGAAGTTCTTGTTTTTTCTTGTTTTTCTTTGACGATCTCCTGTCCTTGGTTAGCATTTTTGCTTTGTCCCATGCTGACTCTGCTATCTCTGAGGATCTTGAAAGATCTGCGAGGCAAATGGTTTACGTGAGCAAGTATAAGACGGGATGGGGAACCGTTTTGTTTTACAGAAAGAGCTGAGAGACTGGGCAGAATGCGAATGCAGTCGAGAACCACAGGTTTTTTAAGAACTGGTAGCAATGCAGACAACTTAATACTGGCTCAGAAAAAAAAATGTTTCCTCCTTACTTTTAATCTTATAGATCTTCATCAATTTCTCCTCCTTGTGGAATCTAAAACTATGACTCCTACTGAAGGACCTCTTTCTCCGGAGAGGATTGATCCAAAAAGGCATGTTTGGCCAATGCCACGGTCCCAGCTCTGAGCACTCACTACTCTGGGTCAAACTTGTTGAGTTATCAGACAGGGATCTGCCCTGAATCTGCGTCCGGCATTGTTCACTCTGCGTGGAGTCACTGTTACAAGTAGAGGGCAAGCAGGTCCGCCATTTTTTCTTGATGCTACATACATCAGTTTCATCGCCTTCTGAAAATGCCCAGTTCACATATCCACCTCCAGTCTGCATGCTCTTGGCTTGGGAAGGAAGGGAGGTCACTGTCATGGGTGCAGGTGTGCAACCCCAAGTGTGTAGAACTTGCTCCACATTGTCTTTTTTGTCTGGTATCTCAGCCATTGGCCCGTATTGCTCCTTGGGTTCAGCCACGGATGCCTGGTCTGAAACAATGGGGATCTGCCAAGACAGATGGACAGAGAACTCACTCTGAGGAACCTGTTCCATTGCCAGCACATCTGTACCTGTTCCTACAGATGGTCTGGACAGAGGCAAGACAGCTTCTTCAGGAAAAGGAACTTGTTTTAGATGAGAAGGGACCAGGAGAAATTGGCCAGTCTTTGAGGGTGCTTTTCTGTTAGGGGACACACCAGAAGCAACTATACTATTTACCGATTCTTGACCTTTATCTCTTAGGTTTGAAGCCTGTCTCTGACTGTCTGTAATCTCAAGAAGCGCCCCCCTCTGCACACTTGGGGGATGCTGGACTCTAGCCAGGCTCTGCAGCAAAGAAGAAGGCATGCTGTAATACTGGTACTTCTTCTCCCCAGAGATCTCCATGCTGCCTAGAACCTGTGCACAGATGACATTGTTCCAGCTGTGAGGAAGTTTTATGCAAGCAGAACGCTTTCTGTTGGCCAGGAGAGCCTCATCGTCTTGCAAGGTGTCCACAGCAGAAAGAACTTTTAGGGTATCCACAGTCAGAGCAGAGAGGTCCTGCAGGTGTCCCACCTGGCTGTCCAAAGACAGTAAGGAGTCCTTTATAAAAGACACTTTTTCATTCATTTCTTTCAGCTGGAAGTACATCTCTGTAACCCTAATAGTGAAGAGAAGAAGAAAACCAATAAACACACTAAGCCAGAAGGATTTGCTTTGCTCTCTTCCTGTCCTATTTCCATCCTTAGGTGGCTCCTTGGCCTCAGGTCTGTGTTCTGCCTTCTTCTCTCTCTAATATATACTCTCATCCCAGGTGATCTCATCCACTGCTATAATTCCCAACCCAATGAGGAAAAATTACCAATCTACAATGCTAGCCTTTATTTCTTTCTAATATTTCATAATCACATTTCCAGCTTCCTGCTAGTTATCCCTTCAATCATCTGACCGATCATTCCATTTTTATTCATTAATATATTCATTCATTTACATGACAAACACTTGAATACCTCCTATTGACAAGCACTGTACTATTCCTATGGGAAAAGGAGATCCTGAGGAAGAAACCAGGATAATAGAAACGGAATTAATAGTCAAATATGTAATCTGGGGAAAAAGAAAATACAGATCTTTAAAAAAAAAAAAAAAAAGAAAGAAAGAAAAAGAAAACTCCAACTCTGCAATTCAAATAGCTACCCAAGTCCCAAACAAAATCCATTTTAGGAGACCTATATTCAGAAAAAGCCTGAGGCAAATTTTAAAAATTATTTTGAATACTTTAACCCAAGATTATGATGTCCAGCCATTGATTCACGTAAAAGAAACACAAATTTCATATATTCTGTAATTTCAGTGTTATATACCATGTTACAGCAATAGAACTTCAGTATACAAATACAAACATAAATTACAAGTAGGTTGAACTAAATGTAACAATTAATTTAATTTAGAGAAAGAGAGAAAGAGAAAAGAAAATGTTGGTTAATATTTATCTATACATCCCTGTAAATGTCTCTTTATGGGGATGAGTTTTGTTCTGTGTCCCCCCAAAACGATATGTTTAAGTCTTAACCCCAGTACTCCAGAGTGTGACTTTATTTGGAAATAGAGTCTTTATAAAGGTAGTCAAGTTCAAATGTGGTCAATTGGCTGGACCCTAATCCAGTATAACTGATGACCTTATAAAAAGAGGAAATTTTGACACAGACATGCACAGAGAGATGACATGAAGACACGCAGGGAGAAGACGGCCACGTGGGCTAGAGTGTCACATCTACAAACCAGGGATTGCCAGCAAACACCAGAAGCTAGAGGAGAAAAGGCAGGATTCTTTCCTAGAGATATCAGAGACAGTGGGGCCCTTCCACCACCATGATCTTGGACTTCCAGCTTCCAGACGTGTGAGACAATAATTCTCTGTTCTTGTTACACACCCAGTTTTTGGTATTTTGCTACAGCAGCCCTAGGAAACTAATACAGTTATCTAAGCTTAACAATCAAAAGAGTAAATTACAGAATATAGCAGATTGGATTACATAAGAAAACTTGTATGCAGAAACATAACACAAAATTTTAAGACAAAAATAAATTGAAAAATTAGTATCTGGACAAATATGATGAAGCATTCATAGCCTTTACAAATTGTCGAGGAAAAAAATAATAAAAAGATTTTGAAGGACATGAACAGATAGTTCACAAAAGGTAAAATACAAAAGGTAAAGAAATAGGGGCTGGCTGGTTAGCTCACTTGGTTCAAGCGTGGTGTTATAACACCAAGGTCAAGGGTTCAGATTTCTGTACTGGCAGCCACCAAAAACAAAATGGTAAGGAAATATGATAAAATGGTTAATCTCATTAGGTAATCAGAGAGGAAAATTAAGATAATAATGAATTTATCTATATTATAAAAACATTTGTTTTAACCTAACAAATTAAAAACAGATTAAAACAACTCAATTGTGGCAAGGATGTAATATAGAGAATATATAGGGACACAAATATATAAAGAGGCTGTAATTTCCCTATGCTAAGGCAGACAGGCATTTGCTATGTTATGACAGAATATTACACAGCCATTAAAAACCATACTTAGGGCCGGCCCGGTGGCGCACTGGATAAGTGCGCCGCTTGGGAAGCGCGGCAGCGCTCCCGCCCGAGGGTTCGGATCCCACATACAGACCGGCTCCCGCTCACTGGCTGAGCGAGGTGCGGGAGCAACACCGAGG